ATTCTGCTCTGTGGCACTGGATAGGCCAGCTCTCAAAAGGGTTTAGAAGTATTTCAAAGATCAAAAGCAGGTATTTAGGTAGAAAAAACCTTAACGGCTTGGCCTACCGGAATTTTTTAAATTTAGTGATAATGAAGTCTCCGTTTGAAAACTTTTCTCATTCTAACACTCCATCTTGCCATAAATCTTCTGCTATTACTCAAAACCAAAACACTTAAACTCCCACAATTATTAAGACTTGCAGTCTTTCAAAAAATTCATATCCAGGCACCTAATCGTTATATAAAAGTGGCAGTGGACTAGGCGGTGTTCTCGCCAAAACATTCACGTGGTCGCAGGTGAGACCTGGAAGTTCAAAGGAGCTGAATTTGAATTCTTTCTGCATCATATGGGTAGGGAACGTTGCTCTAAAGTCTCAGCTTTTTAGCTTCTTTTGTTCCAAGTTAACACTCTCAGACTAAAATTTCCCCGTATGCGTATGCAAGTCCCGAACAGTTCTAAACAGCTGAGTTCGAAATCTTTTCGTCATGCGTGGGTAGGGATCATTGCCCTAAAGTTTCAGTTTTATAGCCTTTCTCCCTCCCTGGTTAGCAACTTTTCCCTTCAAGACTTCCATGCATCCATACGTGAGAAACAGATGTGCGGGAAAGTTGACATCACGTTCTTGAGCACGCACTTGGCCAGGGAACACACTGGCAAAAATTCAGCATCAAAGCTTGCGTGGTTGGCGAGTAAAAACATCCAGACAGACGAAGGCAAACACACACGCTCAAAAACACTGTTGCCACAGTACGCGTTTTTGCTGCCTGTTGCAACTGGCGTTACACAGCACGAAAAAGGAGAGATAAAAATGGAGAAAATTGTAAACATGCAGAAATGCAATCACATTCATGATTCATGGCCTAAAAAAAGTGAAAAGAGATATTACATAATTTTATAATTAAAATTACATATTTTGCACTAGCTACTGAATTTCCGAGCGATCTCACTGCTGCAAGAAACACTGCGAAAACGCATAATCGCACGGGCTTGCCTGGTGTTGCAAATTCATATTTACGAAAAGAAGAAAAGATAATTAGATAAAAAAATTTAAGAAAATGACGGCGTTTTACTTGTGATGTCGATCCTTTTTGTTTTTAAATGTGCCACGCTTGGACCCCGCCCTACAGGTATCAGGAAGGACAGCTTGGCAGCTAACAAAGCTGACGGCTCGGCTTTTTGCCTTCCCTATCCTTCCAGCTGTCTTTTACAAAGCCTTTTAGCAGTCTGGTAGAACAAAAGCTCACAGTTGGACCGGGGGGAAGCGGACAGTGTTGTTGCTACTAGCGCGGATGCGAGGCGGTTATCGTCCACCAGAGCTAAGACTCCAGTCCTTTTCCACCGCTACTCCTGTTTTTTCGACTGACGCTAAGGCTTTAGCTGGCTACGAAGACGTAGGACGGTTGATGCCTACCAACGAATGCTAGCAATTCTCCGGGAAAACGCTAGCAGCTCTCTGTTCGTGTAAAAGTACTCGTTTGTTTACCTAGGTGGGATTTTAGTTGTGCCACGCAAGTTTGCCTGCTTCAATTCAGCATTTCTTTTCTTGTTTTCGATTCATACGTATCAAGCGCATGACACGTGTATGCATGCTAGTATACATG